CTGGCACAAAGCACACACACACACAAGTCCTTGTTGGGGCAAGGGACGTCGGCGCGAAATTGATATGCGAGCAGCGAACAGCAAGCACAGTCAATAAAATAATAACAGGGTACAGTGGAGGCTTAAAAACAATAATTAAAAACTATAACGAATTTTGTTCAAATAGAAATTAAAATAAATGAAAGGCTTCAGGGAATTATTTAAGCCTTTTAAAAACTAGGATGAGGCCTAGGAACTATGCAAAAAGGTTAGGAACCTATCGATTTATATGCGATATTTGCACAAAATAAATAGAAAAATTTAACTTTCTTCGTACCTATTATCCTCCTCAGAAGTCTTAAATAACCCTAACATTATTTCCATCTCATCGAGTATCTACTGTACCCCACCAGCGATAAGGACAACAAGGAGAGGCAATGCCATAAGCTGAGTGATCTGAAGAAGGCGAGGAAAAGCACCTGCACCTCGCCCATCTTCCCTGAAACTGAAGCTGAAGCGTAAATTGATAAGCCGCAAGGTGGGAAATGGGGAAAGTGCGGCAAAAGGGTAAGAAAACTGGTTACTTCAGTTCCTCACCCTTCCACTCACACTTATTAGTGCCAGCGATTGACATGAGCTGCCTTCTGTTTTGCTCAGTCGGAGCAGTCGCATCTCTTTCAGCTCCTTAGACTCCTTTGTCCTTTGCTGGATCAGTGGGATTTGGATTTGGGCAGGAGACTTACTCGCCTACTGGCTAGATAAACATTTAGTTTTCGTCCCTCAAGACTGGGAACTTTGCACTGAATACTTGCACGCAATGTACATAATTGACAGAGCTACATTCTCTGGTAAAAAGGGCAAGGGATTCCTCTCCTGAAGTTGAAGAATAGATACAGTGAACACTCGGTCAGTGAAATAAATTTATTTGAGGAACATATAAAATTATAGCATATTTTGTATACTTATTAATTGTAAATTTCGGCTTGACATTATATACATTTATTTCTTCCTACACCCTATTTAATTTCGTTCTATATTAAATTATAATTATTTTATGTATTTCTCCTTCCTTCCTAGACTACAAATTCTTCCAACTAGGGAAGTTTTAGTTAGGGGAGTTCAGCTGTATCTATGCTGCAATAAATCACATATACGCCATGTTGACCTGATAAGTGGCCCTAGGATTCAAAAAGCTGGTTTCTTTTTATTTTTAATATATATATATCTAATATATGGAAATATATATAGTTTTGGGGTTTATATGAAATTGACTACAATTTAATAAAGTATATTAAATAAATAGTATATCCTAAACGGACTATGTTAGGTTACTTTTTCTATTACTATTTTTCTATTTTTTATTCTATTTGCTAAGAAATTTTATATTTCCTCTGAATTATATTTTATTTTACTTAAAAATATTAATGCGTCTCGAAATATTTACCTATTTAATGGGTTTCGACTGCATTGCGGCATTATCCTTATAATGCTTACGTAAATAATCTAAAGATTTCCTTAAAAGTACTGTACCCTGTAAGAATTTAAAGGGAATACAGAACAAAACGTTAAGAACCATCTGTGACATGCGGTTAAAAGGCAAAAGCGGCATATGGCCAAAACATGGTCATATCCCTCCGAATCCGAACCCGCATCCCAGTCCAATGGGCTTCTTGAGTGCGGACATTTTGGCCGCCTAGAAGATGTGCGAATATGATTCTTGTTCTGGTTTCTGGTTTCTTGGCCTCGGTCTCTCGCCTCTTGTTGCCTTTGTTGCTGCTGTCATGTGGCACACGTGAATAAATCATTCGCGATAAGCGCGAAGTGAGTGCTCATGTTTATGGACTTAATGGCTTTGGTCACACCAAATAAAATTTGCATTTCAGCCAAAAGGGAAAAGCTATGAAAACTGGGCTCAAAAGAGTTAAAATCAAAAGAACGTGCAACAAAAGCGAGTGAGAGGGGGAGGAGATGCAATGCCTTTGAGTGATAGCGGGCACTGATAACACTTAATTACCTCCTAATTAATTAAGAGATGAGCGATGAATCGCCGAAATCTCGTCTGGCAAGGGTAGTGTACAGAAAAGAGTCGGCACTAGCGTGTGAGAACAAGTATACGCCCCCTATGCCGGCTCGAGCTCAATGAGTGAGTGAGAGCGAGACAGCGGCTTCCATGGCTGCCTTGGTTGGTCGTTTCCTTCCAGGCACGCACACAACGACGGCAGCTGAGCCGGAACATTTGGCATTGGAACACGTAACTCTCCCTCTCGCTTCCACCACCACGCGATCGTTCGTGTTGCCAGGACGACTGGAAAGCAGGCCACAACACACACAGAGCCCGTGTTCCGATTCACAGTGTTCCTCCAGGACTGGTTTTCATTTCGCTCGTTTCACTCTGAGCGCCGTTTAGTTGCTATTGGAATCCCAATCCCATAACGTTTACGTGGTGCAGCGCAGCAAAGTATGGCCCGAAAGAGAGCCAGAGAATAAGCCGAAGTCTGAGCCTGAGCAAAAGAGATAGAGAACTTGAGCCACCCCGTGGAGGGTAGAGTGCAAGCGAGAGAGATGGAGCTCAAGTGTTTCGTTTCAAACGCCTGCGTTCCGCTCATTTTGGCATTGTTCGCTGGCTCATTCACTCGTTTCTGACCGTTTCCAGTCGATTCACGTTTTCAGCCTGCCAACTTCATTCAGTTGGTTTTTCGATTTCGATTTTTGAACGTGGCCGCTGCTCCCTAACGGTTGTTTCGCCGTCGCCAGATACCCGCCAAGGTGCGTGTGTGCTCGAGTGTGTGTGTGCGCGTGCGAGTGAAAAGAGTGACGGAGAAACAAAAGCGAAACGCAGCACGCGATACCCTGTACCTGCAACCTGCCGGTGCTGCTGCTGCTGCAAGTTCTAGACAAGCTCACGCAACAACGGCAAGACGAAGGAGCCGGAAGGAAGCGAGCGGAGACAAGTGCAAGTGCAGACTGCCGGCGGTCATTCACTTCCTCACCTGCCTCCTAGCTCCTGGCTCCTGAATCTTTGTTCCTTGCACCTCCCACGCTGCCACTGTATGTGTGAGTGTGTGTGCGTGCCAGACAAAATGTCACTTTGACAGCTAGCCTCTGATGATGGCGCCTCTGCCTCCGCCGCTTCCTCTGCCTCCGGCTCTGCTGGCGTCGATCGTGCCGCAAATGATTTGCGTGCCGTTCTTGCGTTAGCGCTCTTTATTCCGTGCCGATTTTGATTTCCTCCGTTGCATGCGTCGTCATCGCCATCGCCCATTGATAAACCCAAGAGCCCAACCAACAACAACAACACCCAAACACCACTATCAACAACAACAATAATAACAGCAACAACATCAACAATTCCACAAAAAAGTGCAAGTGAAAAAGCAAAAGTGCTGCCAAAGAAAATGAGAACCAAAACAATAATAAACTTAGTAAATTGGCGCTGCCGGAATTAAAATAACAACATGAAGCCAATTTGAAAAGCAATTGAAAAAGGATATTTTTCAGCATGGGGGAAATGCCAAATGAATTTGTTGCAACTTTCAAGTAGCTTTCAAACTAACATTCACAACTGACAGGAAATACAGAAATGTTTCAATTTCATAATTATAAATAGAATTCAATCAATATTCGAAAACCTCAAGATTGAAAAAATGTAAATGTAATACACCTTCTTTAAATTACATTGTAGTGTTTTATTATTCTAATCAGAACAGCTCTTGTAATCAAATAGTTGACAAACCTATTTATTTCAATTGGATATATAATAATCTTTTATTATATACTATATTTTATCATTTAATTTTGTTTCTATTAATTCTTCCCAGAAAATACCCTGCTGAAATACATATTTTCTATTAAAAAAGATCCGTTCAAGCCGGCGGCTTTTTAGAATTTTAAAATATCTAGAACTTTTTAACAAACAACACATTCTAACCAACTTTCGGAAGTCCAATTTTGTACACCCAAGCAGTTTAAAATTGAATCATAAAATCAAATCGGATATAATGCTATTTCGATAAAAAAAAAACTCACAACTAAGCCAAAGGGTTAATTTCAATTCGGAAAGCGGTTCTATGTTAGTTTTTTTTAGATCAATAAATCTGCTACTAAATATAAAGTTTTAGCTAATTCAAATTTTTGTCGATTTGTGAAAATTTTAACGATGTAACCCCTTATCTTCTTTTGAAATATTGAAAAAATTATGAACATTTATTTTTTGACCGGAAATGGATAGAATGAATCTCCCGAATATTCTGATCAAGAATATATATGATTTATAGGGTCGAAAATGACTCCTTTAATGTTAGAAACTTATGAATTTTAATATCCTGTATTGCTTGGGTTTCATAATTTAGATATAATATCAATTAGTGACAGAAACCACACAGCCTTCTTAAATATTTTAATATAAATTAGTCTATATCTGGGTCAAATCTAAAATAATTTTGAAAGGCCACTTTGAAACGTATACCTTATTGGGAAAATCTTGATCCCAATTCGTAATGCTGCAAATAATTCAAATAATTCAATGCCCAGCCTTTTTCAATTGCTAAATCAGAGTTTCCCATCGATTCCCCCTCATATAGCTCCATCCAACTGAAACTACAGTGCAATACAAAAAAAGAAGCGCGAGAAATGAAAAAGCAAACAAAATGTAAGCGTGATGATAATTAAAATAAAATACAAAAAGGAAAAAGAGAAACGAAATTTACGCGAACCGAAACCGAACCGAAATCCGCAGCAGGATCTCTCTCCGGATCTGATCGCACCCGGCTTCTGGCTGCGCCTCTGCGCGAGTCCGTGTGTGCGAGTGTTTCCCAGAGCAAGCCAAATCAATAAATAAAAACCAATTACAAAATAATACAAAAAACAAGAAAGAAAAACAAGAAACAAGAAGGAGGGAAAACAAGCTGCTGGACAAGAGACAAGCAAAGGGGGGAGGCTGAAGACAACGAAAGAATTGATACGAAAAATAATAAGAGTAAAAATCATTCACCACGGCGACCATAACGAACTCCGCCCTAGCAATGAGCCAGCTGGGCACCGTCTACGCCACCAAGCGAAGGCGACGCAACGGCAAAAGGTGAGTACCAAGTATCAGTCCCAGTCCCAGTCCCTATCCAAAGATACAGATACAGATACAGGCAGCGAATCAGATACAGATACAGAGATGCAGATACAAATGCACAGCGGGAGGCGGATGGCTAAGGACTCGTGGTTTGGGGCTCTGTTATTACTGAAAGATTTCAATCAATGCGCGTGAGTGGCTGCGATTGGCTGCACTTGCCACTTACCCACTTGCCACCTTGTGGCGCCACCCGCTGACGAGCCGCTCGTGGCTCTATCAATCTCTCCTCCTCCGCCGGCTACTGGTCTTTTTAACCATTCGCCAAGATTCGATTATTAATGATCCGCAGGGCATTTGTTGACAAATCACCTTCACCATTGACTCTTGACTCTCTTGACTTTGGCCCTCGGGCCGGGGGAATCCCCTTTTGGCCGCCCTTTTGCCGCAAATTGATTTGCATTATGCATGCCGTGGCAGGTTACCGTGAAATTACAGTAGCCGCGCATTCGATGGAGATGATGATGATGGCCATGATGACCATGATGACCATGATGATGATGGCCGCTCTCCCCGCGGGCTGTTCGCTGGGGGAGATCGGAATCTGCCTGACCCAAGGTGCACTTAATTTCTGATAATTTTGTGTACTTAGCCGCTGCAACAGCACCAAGCATGATGTTTTCAATATATAAATATACAAGAAGACACGCATTACCGCGAGCAACTCTGGTAAATATGCCGCTCCAGCCACGCCCCACCTTCAGTTGGTTGCACTCCATGCGCTAATGTTTGCGACCCCCATAATCAAGGCTCTCCGATCGAGACGCACAGATCAGATGCAGTGCATCATCGAAAGCCTTGAAGAATGAGGAAAACCAGGAGCTAAAAACTGAATCGATTAGCGATGCATTATCAGTGTTAAGGCGAGGAATGAGGATCGATTTAGAAAACAAGATAGAGAATGCGAATGGGGAAACAATCAGTTTGAATTATTGCCTTTATAAGCCAAGACTAATGCAAGTATGTGATTTTCATAGTGTTTGAAGTTACTAAATTATAATATCAACTCTAGACAATATTACAGTGTTATTATAAAGTATTAGTTTCAAACCTCAATTTAAGTATAATGTTTACATGTCGCATATTTTTAATCGTTCTTATTTTCTAAATAGTTTCCTTGAAGATTTTAATTGCCTTATGCAAATTCTTATATAAAGCTTATTCGATCAATGAGTTCAGTATAACAATTTATAGATTCACTTATCACAAACACCACTCATTTTTCCCATATAAAACGTATAATATTTGGTTGTAAAATATGTCTTAAAATACGTATATAAGTATATAAAAAATTCTCTTTCAATTAAACCCGCTGACTAAGAACTTCCACTTAATTCGTTTCACCATCGACAGGCAGTGGCATAATTCGCGGTTCCTTCTAGCTTGATAACAAAAAAACAAAATTAAAAAAAAAAAAACAATTACACTTTACTGCAGTTGGCAAAATGAACAAAAGAATAAAAAAGAGAGACCGGGGCTTTCGTAGTGCCACCCCGTTTTGGACCCTGACTGTGGGCCTGGCTCAGAGCTGACACCGAATTCTGCCGCGCTCGACTGACGCAAAATTGTCACCTTGCCTCTCCCTGCTGCAATGCACACCTGCAATTAACCGAGGGGCAGGTCGAGGCCGCACTCTTTTTTTAGGTAAGGGTGCCGAGCTCTGCGGCACGCCTCGGATCATAGTTTTTTGTTTTTTAATTTTTTTAATGAACTGATCAAAATGTGCTCTCAAGAGCTTCCACCTAGCTCAGCTCTGCTGTTTTTTACAACATTTTAATTGAGCTCATAAGTGGCCGGGAGCAGCTGCCCTTTGTTTTATGCTCCTCGTTCGGCACTACTGCGAATATTACGCATACGACGCATTGGCAGGCAATGCAATTTATTTATAACATTTGGCCAAGTTTTGCGCCTCGCGTGCAAATATTTTATTAGGAACTTATCTATTCAATTGAAGGCATGAATTTCCTGCACTAAAAAGTTGTTGGTATGAAATAATAATGGATATCAAAATGGATGCAGAACAGGAACAGAACAGAAAATAAGATACTTTAAAGCACCATATAAAGAGATATAGTTTAAGCGTAATGATTATGCGTTTATTGCCGCACAATTAATTTTTAAAATGTTATAATTTACATAAATTATCTAATTTGTAAATTGTTGTTATATTTTTAGAATGATTTGATATTGTAAACATTTAGTTTGTATTTCCCTAAGCTTGATGCAAGTATCTGCAGGATTTGCGAATTTGTAGTATTTTCCTGTTCTTCCGTTTTTCTTTTTCCTGCTAAATGCAAATGATTTCGGTGCATGGTTTAATTGAGAGGCATTGCATCCGTTTCTGAGAGTGGTTGGCCATTACCACAAGTAGTCAAAGTTCGTCCTGGCTCCCTTAGATCCTGGAGAATGCCTTGGCCCCTCACCGCTGGGGTTCCACTTGTTGGTTGTTATGGATATATGAGTCCTGCTTTTGCTTTATTGATTATCAGCTCGTTGTTTATGCTCTCTATGTGGCAATTGTTGTTATTGTTGTGTGCACGGGTGTATCCAAGTTATTGATTGCTGCAGTTAGTATCCTTTGCAATGCTCCTTTCAAGCTGCATTGGTCGTTGTTCCTTGCTATTGCAATTGCAATTAGCCATATTGCAGTTGCAATTGTATCTGTTGTTGGTGCCGAAGCCTTTGTGAAAAGGTTTAAAGTTCAAGCGCTCGTATTTTATGTACTTTGATTGAGTTGCAAAACTTGTTGTTGAAGGTAGAAGAATTTTTTCGAGAGGGGGAAGGTAATTACAGAGTTTTTAAAGGGTAATACAAGGGGAAAGAAATTATGTAGAAAGCTAATGAAACTCTCTTTAAGCTTGAAATATTTTGGAGTTGCAAATTTTCCCTACATAGTCTTATTTTCAATTAGTAGAACAATCTATTCTCAGCAGGATAAGGTTAATTATCTTTCCTGTAACTGCCTCAACCCCTCCTATCCTCAATCTCTTGCTTCTTTCTGGTGCAAAATTAGTTTTGTAAAATTTTTGATGAATTACCTTTCGGTGTATATGAAGTGTTGTATTCCCACATGCCAGGAGATCGCTCTTTGGAAAACCGCAGCCCCCTGTGCCATCTGTTTTCTCCGCCAGAGTCTGGACCCGGCTTTCGGGTTCCCTATCCGCCGACCATATGGCCAGGACCGCTTTCACACACAGCTCACATAAATTCCAGAGTTGCAGCCCAATTTAATGTTGGTCAAACGAGCTGACCAGCCGGCGGGCGATGGCCTGTTGGGTGGGGGAGTCAGTTAAGGGCACCACATGGCCCATGGTGGTGGGTTGCTCATTAGTTGCGCCTGCGCCTGCGTCTGTGCCTGAGCCCTTTGAGCCCAGCGGTATCGGAGCCAGTTCATATGGGGTTAAAAGTATCGCGACTAGCGGGTTATTCTTTTTTAGTTAATTACCACAGAAGAGGTGGTGTCGGAGATCGAAAGATATACTACTTTACCAAGCGAATGACATATGCCAGCGGTTATCCTTTTTTAGACGTTAAGGATATATTGTTTAAAGCTCCTTCTACAAATAGAAGATTGCTGAGGCAAAGGAGACAACTAGAATTCAAATTCATTAAAGCTTTACCCTATCTTGCAACTGCGAATACATTGAAATCTAAGCTTTTTCATGGACGATTTTCTATTGGGGACGCCATGGAAAATGGCTTTAAATACTTTGCTACCGTCTTTGGTTAACCGTTTTCCACCGCCAGTCCGCTTCAGTTGCTTGCCGGCGATTATCCATCCATTTATCGGTGTGTGTGTACCTGGCGGGTATATATCTGTTTCCCTGTCCCACTCCCACTCACTCACCTGGCAGGCTGGTGTGTCCGTGTGTTGGTAATTAACACCATTGCGTAATGCAGCGTATCGAAGCCTAAATAGTGCTGCTCCATATGCCAAACTGGGCGGCAGTGGGCCCCTCGAGGAGGTGGCGATATCAGCCATTAAATGCCGCTGTCTCATTCCGGGGCAGCTGCTGCTTTTATTTTTTTTTTGCTACTTTGTTGCCATTTATGGGACCAGGCCGGGGCCCTGGCATCAGTCATGTCGGGAGGTGTCGAAACGCTTAGAGCCTTACAAGCGATTGGGTTCGGATTTGTCGGGCTTTCTGTCTGCCAAGCGGATCAGGATCACTGCCTCTCCGGGATCGGGTGAGTGTCAGTGAACCCGGAGGGGGGCAAACGGAGCAACCACTAATCCATAATGCACCGAAAACTCCTTTGGGCTGACCACCTGCATTTGGCCAACCCCGAGGGCCTAGCCCAGGTTAGTCAGCGAAAGCAAAACAAAAGAATTTCGAGTTAACCCAAAGCGTCCCATTAAAATCCACCACCAGGCCAGCAGCAGAAATAGGACTGCCAGCACCAGGAGAAGGACCAAGAACCAGGACGCACTGTTGCCTTCTGCTTTTGTCGAGTGTGCGCTGAAGTGGAGCGCCAAGGGGCTGGCCAGGATTGCGGGGTGGACTTTTCAGTCGTCGGAGAGGTGGTGGTCGTAACAAACCAGGCAGGTGATACTTTTGGTAACCTTTCCCTGCATGATATCCTGGCCAAAACAAAAAGGACTCGTTTAACTCTGAAAGTGAGCTTACAAAAGAGTGTGATAGCTCAACTGAAACGGACTTCTAATGGCACATATCTCGTAAACACTATCTGTACAAATCATTTGAATAGTATGCTAATTTTATGATTTAAAGTGAATAGCAGCATAATTACTCTCTCTCTCTCTCTGATAATGTAATAAATAGTTGAATTAGTTGATGTAATCACAGCTTGCATTACGGTAATAAAATTAATAGCACATTTAAAAGCTTAGTTAAGATCTTATGAGCTGCAATAAATCAAATTGTCACTATTAATACTCATTTACACTTTCTGGCAACATTTATGGGTAGATAAAACTTTAAATACTTAAAATATAC